GGGCCTGCCCCCGCCGTCGTCAAGGAGGGCTGGCTCTACAAGCGCGGTGAGTAGTGACGGCGAAAAACAATGTGTTTAAACCTTAGATATTTTCGCGCAGAAACAGATGTTTTGCTTCCGATGTTTTCTTCAGATCAGCATATTTGTTCAGAAAGATCGATTAAAAAAAATCGCATGATGTAAAGAAAATTTCCGGTATTAAACTTACAATGTGCAATGCTCTCAATCAAAGGCTTTTGAAAACTGTCACTGATGTCTATCTCCAAGCGGCGCGAAACAGATTGCTATTCCCAGCCTATCCCCAGTGTTAGTAATAACACTATAAATCTTCTATGATTATTTAGAACGTGGTAATATTGTTAATCTGCTTTTGGAACCTTGGCTATATAAAAAATTGATTAGATAATTAAAATGACAGTCAAATGTAAGGCAGAGTATACTTAAAACTAACGACGTACGATTTAAATACCGGCTATGGATTCGGGCCGGAGTCTGTTTTGTCTCATCCATTTACACCTTTTTCCAAAAATTAAATTGTTTATTTTAGAATCGCTTGAAAACGCCAAATTCCTAATTTCAAGAAAATTGAGTCTCCCAAATTTTCAGATTTCAAAATATTTTTAGTTATTAAAACAGTCTATAACAGAATATGTTTCATACAAGTATGCATTAAATGAAGTGTCTATTCTCTTGGGTCAAAAATGCGCCGCTAATGCGCGTTTTAGATTTTGGCGTTGACTGGTTTCTGAAATAAACGATTCAATTGTTCATGACACAAGGAAGCGTGTGCGCTGACGAACGCCTGTGTGGTGGCTTGCGCAGGGGAGCACATCAAGAACTGGCGATCGCGCTACTTCGTGCTGCTGGAGAATGGCGCCCTCATCGGCTTCAAGAACCGGCCCGAGCCAGACGCCCTGGGCGACCCACTCAACAACTTCACGGTGAAGGGCTGCCAGATCATGGCGTGCGACCGCCCTAAGCCCTACACCTTCGTCATCCGCGGCCTGCAGTGGACCACCGTCATCGAGCGCACCTTCCACGTCGACAGCGAGCGCGAACGGTGAGTCCTCATCGCCTCCGCATACCCGCTCCTCCGCATACCCGCTCCTCCGC